TTTTTAACCTCGGTGGTTTAACCCATTAGCTGGTAATGCACCCTCCCCTTGTCCAGCGCCAGAAGATTTTACTCGTCAGTGGTATAGGGTACTGCCAGTAATCTGCCAATGGCTCTTGTTAATCCATCAGCACAGTAATGACCCCTACTTTAGTATTTACCCTGTCCAACGCCAGACGATTTTTAATACTCAGTCAGTGGTAGGGTACTGTCAATAAATGGGTTAACAAGGATAACAATAATAGGATGTTTCTGAAGGAGTCGTTCAACACCCTGTAGTTTGTCTTTTGCTGTCAAAGGCAGCATTACTGCCCTGTGGGTAACCTAGTATATTGATATATTGCGTGTAGGTTTCTTAATTTAAGAAAGAAAGAACTTAACATATTATATTGCCATATGATATATTGCGTGAGTTCTTAAGAACGAAGCAACAACATATTATATTTATTTATTCATATAAGGATCTTCCCGTTCCCGTGTTATGCACGCGTGGTCTCTTGAGAAAGAAGCAAAATTATTAATAATAGGATGTTTCTGAAGGAGTCGTTCAACACCCTGTAGTTTGTCTTTTGCTGTCAAAGGCAGCATTACTGCCCTGTGGGTAACCTAGTATATTGATATATTGCGTGTAGGTTTCTTAATTTAAGAAAGAAAGAACTTAACATATTATATTGCCATATGATATATTGCGTGAGTTCTTAAGAACGAAGCAACAACATATTATATTTATTTATTCATATAAGGATCTTCCCGTTCCCGTGTTATGTATATGTGGTCTCTTGAGAACGAAGGAAAATTATATTGATATATTGCGCGTCTCTTGAAAACAAAGGAACGTTTCTTAACCGAACGTTCACAACAAGAACGAAGCAACAACATATTATATTTATTTATTCATATAAGGATCTTCCCGTTCCCGTGTTATGCACGCGTGGTCTCTTGAGAAAGAAGCACAAAATTATGTTGATATATTGCGTGAGTTCTTAAGAACGAAGCAACAAAATATTATATTTATTTATTCAATGATTGATATAAGGATCTTTCCTTTCCGCGTTATATACGTGGTGTGAGTTCTTAAGAACGAAGCAACAAAATATTATATTTATTTATTCATGTAAGGATCTTCCAGTTCCCGTGTTATGTACGCGTGGTCTCTAGTTGACAAAGAAGCAAAATTATGTTGATATATTGCGGGAGTTCTTAAGAACGAAGCAACAACATATTGTTGTATTATTGATATAAGAAATGTCTATTGACTTCCATATTATTTTTCCATTGGATTCAATTGACAGGTAATTTTCCAATGGACAGATTATTTTGTCCATTGGATCCAATGGACAGGTAAAATTCCATTGGACAATAATTGGTCCATTGGATCCATTGGATCCATTGGACAATTGGAACATCTCTCTGGTTTCATAATCATGTCCACATGGGATCTTGCAACCTGTTAATTACGTAATGGTAAAAACGCGGAAGCTCTTATCCGGTTGATGCATTATTCCGATCGGCAAACTTCACATGGTCTCTTATTCGGTGATGCATAGTTCCGATAGTTGATCCATTGCTGGCCAATGGACATTCCATTTGTCCATTGGATCCAATGGACACGCAAAAGTCCAATGGAAAATTGGAGGTCCATTTGATCCATTTGACAAATGGAATGTCCAATGGCCTTTTGATTTTTCCATCGGACATCTTGCATAGGTATTGGACATGTATGTGTATCCGGGAATGAGAATTCATATCCGGGCAACGAGATTTTTGCCAATCACAGAGCGATTCTTTTACAATCTCTATGCTCGTGCGTGCTTTTTGCTCCATGCAACAAGAATTTACATTCGGGAATGAGTCCGAATGCCTGAAATTTGCCCCCAACTGCGGGAAGCTTCAAATTGTCCCTCGATTTTTCCCTGAATGCCAGAATATTCTTTTATAATCTCTATGCGGGAGAGAGCCTGGGCGGTAAATAGGCAGCTGAATATACAGTATTACCTGGCAAAATGTTACATTCCCTCACAGGTGGCTTGAGGTCCCTGACTGGTGGTCTATAACCCATCTGCCCTTCTGACCTTTGCACTATCCTTGGGATCTCCCGAGTTTAAATTGGCGGCGACTGTTTGACCAGAGCAAGGCAGACAGCAAAATTGACAATAAAAACAAAACGTTAAGAAGTTTTGGAGTTATTAGAATTTGAGAGTCGGTACTTCACGCAACCTCGCAACCCAGAGTTTTTATCACGCTTGTTTTTTTCTCGCCTCAAGCGTGATAAAAACCTTGACTTGCGAGATTGTACTTCACGTTGTAATTGTCATCTCATTTTTAGTGTTTCCTAATATTTGTCAATTGGCACTTCAACACTGTGGAGATGACTAAAGAGTAAGTTATTACTGCTAGCTGCGTATATATTAAACTATTACACAAGATGGTCTAAAACTGCCTTATCTGCATGATGTGTGTTGTTGTGTATTGTGTATTGTCAGCCTAGTCCCAGGCTCTCTCTCTGTACGCTGCTTTGATATATTTAAATAAGTTTTATGCCTGGGTGTGCTGAACGCTTCAGCGCGAGACGTCACAACTAGATCGTTAGAGTTGTGACGTCACCCCTAGATCCCAGTCTTTAGTACATCCGCGTTTTTTCTCGCGCTTGTCTCAGAACGACTGGGACTAGGCTGGGGGTATTGTCTATTCTAGCGTGTGCTATCTCTATAGAACATTTCCGAAAACTGTACCTTTTGTATATTGAGTTAGCAGTCATGCAAATACGAAATTTGGCTTTTTCTAAACAGCCATGCATTGGTGTTGCTTGGTAAATATTCGTAACTGCTTTAATTTCTCTTTTTGAGCAGCCTTTGGTCAGTCTACTGTCTGAATTGAGCTTTTAAATTTGTACAGTTTTGCTTTCTCCGTCTCTGGTTTAGTAAAAGTTTTTTGTCGCTCATCTTTCTCGATCTCGCTATCTAAGCTCAATTTCTTCCCTGGTGACATTTATTCTGTATTTTTATCTATGCGATTCCAGAGTTTCCTATAGAATTTCTATCAGCATGCAGGTGTTTGACATTATTATAAGCGGCACAATCTATAGTCTATACTCCAAGGGCCCCAACAACTAAGGAGTCGGGGGCGATCGATCCGAGAATGCTTGTGGATTTAAGAACCACAATCCTCTCAAAGTACTTAACGTACAGTAGCGTGAAAGTTTTTGAATATGATGATTGTGATGTTACTCTGAGCGTATATCCACACTGGCCTAGCTTCAAAAATATGCCAGAGCCACGGTGGGAACCGAACCTACGACCTTTGGAAGATTGTGCCGCATATAATAATGTCAAACACCACCGTGGCCATGCATATTTGTGAAGCTAAGCTAGTGTGGATATACACTCAGACTAACATCACAAGCATCAGCTTAAAAGTCATTAAAATATTATTTATTTCCAACACAATTTAAACAACAATGATCATCTGATTCTGACATACATATATCTCTCTGTACGTTCAAATTTTCTATCTTAACTTGTAAAAGCGGAACTAACTTAATTTGTTTCCCCTAAAACGTGATCATCAGGGGTCGGTTGTATAAAAAAGTGATTAAAGTTAACTATGGTTAAGTGAAAACGTCATCCAATAAGAAGCGCCTATTCGAGAGTTAATCACTATTTAACTACAAAATAGTGATTAAAAAAGTGATTAAGAGTTTTATACAACCGGCCCCAGATACAGTACTTCGCTTGAGCAAAGTTGAAGATTTTCAATATGTCGACTGAAACATGAGGACAACGAAAGATATCAAGGAGATCTTGTGGATATTTTACTCCTGAAAACTGTCTAACATTCTTTGAAGACTGAAGTATATATTCTTTGAAGCTGCAGGTGCCGCATGATTTTTGTACAACGGGCGGTTTCCGACTTCTGTTGGAAACCCTGGATATCGTACCGACGTTTAAGTTATTGACGTATATAGTCCCAATATTTAACAATTATTCGCCTCAAGGCTCAGTGAATACCGGTGAATATTCGCTGAGACGAAGTCGAGGTGAATATTCACGGTAATCACTGAGCCTGAGGCGAATAATTGTTTTAGTATAAATTTTTAATAAATAAAACAAAATATCCAAATATCAGTTTAATTAAATCACCATACAGCACAATGGAAACATAACAGATCAAAAGAAATAGTATCGCACAAATTGAGATATCTATATAGGATACAAAACAAAATGGTTTTAAAAGAATATCACGGCAAGGTTTTTCCCAACAGTCGGGATAGTTTTTGCTGTTAATATTTGTTTGAATTGAACGTTTCGGAGTTTTAAATAAGTTTTAAATTGTTCGTGAATATGTTTGACACAGTAAAATAATAAAGGATTCCTATACCTTTCAACTTAAATACAACATTTTGTGCTTCTTTCGTTTTCTGGGTCGATTTTTTCAATATTTTGTCGATTTTGAAACCAAATTTTCCGAAACATTCTTTTTGAAAAGCATTATTTACTAGTCGACTGGTAAATAATGCGTCAGATTTACTAGTCAACTAGCCAATCAGAACATGCGAAAGCTAGTTTGATATGCAAAATTTATACCAATACTCTATAGCCGATTAAACTTGTTACAACAAGAGATTCTAATAACACCATGCTTCATAACTACAATGAAAATAATGTAAGTTTGTGTATATCTCTACACACACAGTAATTGTTTTGTTTCATTATGAACAGGTTCATGATATAATTGCATTGTATCGTCGGCAGTATAGTTGGTCTTGTCAGACGCGCTACAAAGTTGGTGAGTAATGTGTCTGTCTATACTATAATAACGTCTCACCTGTAATATATGCTTATATATAGTAGCTATATACATACATCAATTAGGTTGATTGACAGTTCACATCATAATCACTAGCACATGTAATTGTAATAGGAACCTCAAGCGACTGAAGTACTCGAGTTTCAAGTGGTCGAGACGGGCAAATCCTTGCTCGGATGTACAAACTGTAAAAGTATGAAACTTATAACATTTCATAACGTAGACCAGCTGCGCAACCAGCCAATTAACGACGCGTCACCTCAAAGTTCACTAAACGGACTTACAAGTGAACAGATATTCGAGAAATATTCCAAATGCTTTGACGGATTAGGACGCATATCAGACCCTTATCACATTAAGATTAACCCTGACGCAACGCCTGTTGTTCATCCACCTCGTAAGCTTCCTTCAGCGTTGAGAGATCGAGTCCAGAACGAACTACAAGAAATGGAATCCAGGGGAATCATTAAGAAAGTCAACGAGCCCACGGCATGGGTAAACTCCATGGTAGTTAACGAGAAACGCTCGGGAAAATTACGTATATGCATCGATCCACGAGATCTCAACAAAGCTCTGCGTAGAGAGCATTACCAACTCCCCACACAGCAGGAGATAACAAGCCGCCTGACAGACGCCAAATTCTTCAGTAAACTGGATGCGAACTCTGGATTTTGGCAAATGCCACTTGACGAAGAGAGCTCTTATTTGACGACATTTAATACGCCATTTGGGCGCTATCGCTTTACTGTGATACCATTTGGGGTCGTGTTTGCACAAGAGGTGTTCCATAAAACTGTCCACGAGAAATTTCATGATTTACCCGGGTGCGAGACGGACATCGATGATATTTTGATTTGGGGACGAACACTGGAAGAACATGATCAAAACCTTGAACGTGTTCTCAATCGAGTGACAGATATCAATATGACACTTAGCAAAGACAAATGTCAGTTTCGACAAACCAAGATAACCTATCTGGGAGAAACGCTTACGGCAAATGGTGTCAAGCCTGACGAGACCAAAGTTGAAGCAATCAAGAATTACCCCAAACCTACGAACAAACATGACGTCCAACGACTGTTAGGCATGGTCAATTTTATCGCCAAGTTTGCACCGAACATTTCAGACGTCACCGCACCTCTGAGAGAACTCATCAAGAAGAACGTTGCGTTCCACTGGCTCGAAACACACGAGAAAGCGTTTCGAGATCTACAGCATTCACTAACTGACCCTGCTACTCTGCGTTACTACGATGTAGCAAAACCAGTGACACTCCAAGTCGACGCTTCACAAAACGGTCTTGGAGCTGCTCTAATCCAAAACCAAGGTCCAGGAACAAGGAACATATGGAGCATGATTGCCATATTGTTTGAATATGTTTACTTAAATATTGAATCGAACACGTAATCCAAACATAGACTTGATTTCTTAAATAATTCATTTTACGTTATATATAATTTGGTAATAATTACCTTTAATTTAGAAAAAGGAGGATGTAATATATGCTTATATATAGTAGCTATATACATACATCAATTAGGTTGATTGACAGTTCACATCATAATCACTAGCACATGTAATTGTAATAGGAACCTCAAGGACTCGCTAGAACACCTAGACATAATCAGACGTGTATCTTTGACTTATGAATAAATCTTCTATAAGCACATAGAAGCATTACATCACCAATATGCATACAACGTTGAGAGATGTTCGGCATTGCTTCACTTGCCCAGTTAAAGCAGTGAAAAGGTTGTGCGAGTGTACATTATTGTCATGTCGAAATGTGACGATACTATATACACGATGACTTGAGTGGGGAGGAGTCTTATACCTCTTAAACTGATTCTGAAATTTGAACACGTCTACAGTGCTGGTAAACATACCGTTAACGGTTTTGAAAAACTCTGAAAAATTGTTCATTATTTGTTCGTCATCCGTTTAAACGCTTCTCATTACCCATTTCTAAACCTGAAAAACGTTATGATACGCCCTGGAAAAAAAGAATAACCCTCTACAGTCTGGCTGTGTTCCCCCCGTTTCGTGCATATAACAACCTGAAAAATGTTTTCACAATTGCTTGGCTGTTGGAAAATCATCGCAGATCGTCGAAAAACCTATACAATTTCATCCTGCCAATATTTAGAATAAGCTAACGTTTGCTGGTAGGCTGGTTGTACTGTAGTGCATGTACTGTGGTAAGATACTGCAGTATAATACAGGGTGTATAAAAAAAAACTGAACAGGTTTGAAATCACTCTCAATTTTGAAAAAACAGCTATTAGTATCTAGTTTTTGATGTATATAATTTCCTTGGGTACTATAATGTAGAATAATGAAAAAATTTCTCGAACTCAAATTTTGTGAACCAGGGGGGTGCATCTTTTCCAACAAATTAAAAATGGCTTGCGCACGAAATTTAAAAGCTTTAATCATATTTTGAGTTAATAGATGGAAAATTTGTTGGGTTTTTAATTACTGTACAAAATTTCAGACAATTTGCTTTAGTTTAAGCCTTTACCTATTCATTTTTTCCTAAAAAATCAGCCTCTCGCATGCTTAATTAGTGACTACTTAATTTGCATATTGCTGATATATGCAAATTAGGCAAAGGCATAATTAAGCATGCAAATAGCTGATTTTTAGGGAAAAATGTAAGTTTGCGAAGCTTTTAAGTTTCGTGCGCCAGCCATTTTTATTTTGTTGGAAAAGACACCCCCCTCCTGGTTCACAAAATTAGAGTTCGAGAAATTTTTTCATTATTCTACATTATAAGTACCCAAAGAAGCTATATACATCAAAAACTGGATACTAATAGCTGTTTTGCGAAATTAAGAGCAATTTCAAATATGTTCAGTTTTTTTAAGCCGCGTTCACACCAGCGGCCCAGGCCTGGCCTGGACCTGGCCTGGGCCAATTGTGATGCATTCACATTGGCTTGACGCCCAACTCCAGGCCAAAGCAATCAGGCGTCAATATAAACGTCCTTGTGTTCCACTAAAGTATTTAATTTTGCGCTTTGAATGTTTTTCCCTCCAATTGTATGACAATCATCTGACCAGTTTTTATCGTGGGCAGATATTGCGATGGTAACGGGGCCTCGCCCAGGCCAGGCCCAGGAAAACCCGTTCACACCAGTGATGATCGAGGCCAAGGCCAGGTCCAGGCCACCTACATTTGCTGGCCTGGATTTCGTGACTTAGGCCAGGCTCAGGCCAGGTAAAACCCGTTCACACCTAGACCCAGGCGAGGTCCAGGCCAGGCCTGGGCCGCTAGTGTGAACGCGGCTTTATACACCCTGTATAGTGTACTAACTACAATACAACACGGCCAACTACCAACGTTACTGTACTATCTATAGTATATGTACTGTATATATAGAGGATATTAGACGGTTGTGAGGAGATACGGATTTTATGTTCGAGTAGCAAAAACAACATCTCATATTCATGTAAATAAATGCGCGAGAGATGGTCCGTATTATAGTGCAAACATAAAACTAGAATAAATTTTACTTACCTCGAGTTGTCTTTTAAATGTTTTCGTTTTATTTCCAACATTAATTGATTTATATACGGACCAAAGACTATTTATCTTTTCAAAACAACAATGAAAATGGCTGGAAATTCGCATGTCACTCGCAAGCGTGAAATACGGAAAATACGCGCGTGTGGTTCCGGATGTAGGGGGATTTGAGTTCTACGAGTGTTTTAGTTTCCAGTGAAACACCATTGTCCATATCATAAAGTATAATACGATACAATACAATACAACCTGTAGCTACCAGCTGACGTTACCTGTAGTATTCTATGGTATACTGGATCACAAAATAACACGATTACCAGTCGAAGTTTTGTGTATAGCGTAATATATTGTACGCATGCAGCCACCATGCATACAGCTGACGTTATCTGTAGTATACTATGGTACTGCAAGATTTCTCTTTTCATTAGGATGGATCGTTTAAGGATTGAAATTTAATAAGGATTAATGTATATCGTTATTCTGAAAAGATAATTATTTTGCCTCTGTTAACGGAAAATTTCACTTCAATTAATATAATTCATGCAATGAACTTAAAATAGTTAGTATAAAGAATTAAACGTACTTTTATATAGTTATGTAAAGATATTTTGCACACGTCCCCCGTGGAAATCAGCTTAAGTTGACGGGGTCAACGTGTCTAAATAAAGTTTTTCTATCTATCTATCTATCTATCTATCTATCTATCTATCTATCTATCTATCTATCTATCTATCTATCTATCCATACTTTTGCTTTTGTTTTTAAGAAACCTACATACCTGTATGGGAACCCTCACTTATTGTAACATCAGAGTTTATCTACTACCACAGACGCTCAAGGCAATCGCTAGAGAATCTGCAATAAACCTGCGACAGATATTGCCATATTCACCAAAACACAAAGTGGAGAACACCAATAATTCCACTTGAGGAAAGTAGAACCATTGACAACATGCTGGAAACAATTTATATATTATAGCTGCGTAAGTAATAATAATTTATCATTGTTTTTGACCTGATTTTTACGCGGACAAGAGTTGATGAGAGCTCGTGTTTGCCATGCACTAAATCTCGTCATGGTGCAGAAACTTTACGTTCAGAATTCTCATTGGCTAGCGTTTTTTATTTCCTTTAAAAAGGATTTGATGTTATTATATTGACTACTATAAATATTCTAAAATAAAACTGTTGTTGCATGATAGCCTAATTACGTGGTCATACATTCCATACGACTCTCGTACAACTCGTGTTCCTGTGTAAGAAACGTTGGTCACTCTCACTTGCCATTTCGCATTCACTGACGTGCGTCTGATACAATCCGTAGACGTTATGACGTTCGCATGCAATTGATAATGTTTTAACACAGAAGAAGTCGTGATTTTCCATTCCAGTTTTTTCCTGCCTATTTTAGTCTCCCTTGGCCTTTTCGAAGTGAAAATTGCGTTATATGTGACAAAATGACCCAAAAATTGTGATTGTCATCTCGAGGACTTGAAAACTTCAAATTAATTATAACATGGCATTTAAAAGAAACGATAAACTAGTTGTCAATTTTTTTAGTATTTAATTTTAAGACATTTTTTCCGCATTTCGGAACACAAATGACATTTGATTTAGCAAAAAAAAGATTTACTGAAGATTTACTGTATTTTTTGACACTCGATTCAGCAGAAATCGACACAAATCGTTATTGCGTATTCTTGGTTATGCAGGAAACTTGTTCTGAATTTACTAAAACGTTTCACCAAAGTTTTTCCAAATTTTGTGACAGGAATTGTGAGAAATCGCGAATTTTCAAGTTACTCCTTATTTGGGCAAAATCGTATAGCATTTGGGGTTCTATATCGATGCCTTTTCACCCAAAGTAATTGATTGTACTTTTCAAAGTAATTGACTGTACTGTATTTGTCCAAAATAAAACGAACACAGGAACTGGTATATGCAAGTCGTACACTGGCAGTAAAGTCAACGTCCTATAGGTCACTGTGGCAAAATAGGCAACGATGGATGGTTGAAATATGTGAGTTCATGAGCTAGTGAGACCTCTTCTTGACGCAGTGTTTAGTGCAAGATGTGATAAAAATTCTTGATGGTAATGAAAATTATATATATGTTTTTTACCGGATTGGAGGTCCGTATAGAGAAATATTTCTCGAGGTCTTAAAAACGGCCGAAGGCCGAGGCGACGTTTTTAAGACCGAGAGAAATATTTCTCTATACGGACCGACCATACCGGTAAATAATATATATATTTTTTTTTAATTCCCCCCTCTAAATTTCCCCAACCTCCCCTCCCGCAGGCGAATGAAGCTGCCAAATAAGGAAATCACGTGACATGTTTATTTAAATAATTCAACAACGAAACATTCTGAATACAAGCATTTTTCAAGCGAAAAAAATCGTTTAAATATATAAATATCCAATGGAAGTTTATTATAAAGGAATCAAATCTAACAGAAAACCTCAAAAAGGTTATATTTAGTCCGAGTCACTGTCATCGCTCAAGATAACACGCCTTTTTTTGGCAAAAGGTGCTTCTGGAGCTCTGATCGGACTTTTGCTCGCGTTGAGAAAAAAGTTGAAATGACAGCCTTCGATCTTTGAATTGTTTCCCCTGAAAACATGCGTTCGACTGCAGACTGGTTGGAGTAGGAAAGGTTTTGTTGTTGGAGACTATATTGTGATTCATTTGGTTGAATTGGCGCTTGGTTTGTGGCAGAAGACGAGGCTCCTGAACGAAAACGAACGACATTTTTCGCTGATGTGCTGTCGAAGCGGATTTGTAAGAATCGAGGCTTTTCAAATTCTTGTGACCGCTCAGTTGGGCGACGTAATTCTCGGGAATATCGGCATCCATTAAACGGGAAATACAGGTTTTTCTCACCGAGGGGTTTGTGATGTTACCAGACAATTTAGCAGCTTTCGCAGCCTTCAAAAGAAACTTGCCATTTTCGTTTTTTCCGAGTGGAGCTTTGTTATACCAGATCTGAGAACCTGGCTGGCGACGGTGGTTAATAGCCAGGAAGAATGAAGAGTCCAGCTGTTTCATTTCATCTGGTCGATGCTGGGAAAATGCACGATATAACTGAACAGGACAACGTTCGTTGTGGGTTGCTTGCGCTGTGGGATAAAAGGCTTACTGATGTTGCCCGTCGCCGTGGCAAATTTTTTTTCCGTAGACAGTCGGACTCCTCATTGATAGTCGGACGCATCATTGATCCGCGTCCAGGCCTCCGCGCGTTATTTCTGGATTCCTTCGTAACCGTTCGTAACCCACTGGTGCACCATATATCCATCACTCCACATTGTTCTTCTTCGACCACGTGTAGAAAGGTGAACGATTTGCTTCACGATGCCATAGCAAGAAAATACTGGTAGATTCAAAGCGACCATCAAGACTACTTTCCACAAACAGAAATATTGCAGAATACCCGTCCACTAGTAATATATCATGTAGCCTGCCTCTATTTTACTGGATACGTATATACCAGATCTTATTGCCTCGTTCTAATATACACAAACTGATTACTAAGTAATAAGGAAATATCATGCAAGACTTTTTATGTTTAATATGCTTAGTATGCTTTATAATATAAATTTTTCTCCCAGCGACGCTAATTAATCATAATCTGTCAAACACCAATGTCCGGTTGTGATAAATATATTTACATTTTACACCACATTTAAGCTCTCTATAGCATGAGAATTTAATCTATTAATGCTAACTAACTGTCGATCGCCTTAATCTCAAAATAACTATTTGACTGCGTATCCACTATTCACTAAAATATAGAGCTAGCTACCTGTAGCATGAGAATTTGATCTAATGCTAATCTAACTGTATGCCTCGTTCTCGAAATAACTACTTGACTGCGTATCCGCGTATCCACTAGAATTAGAGCTACAATTAACACTATGGCAATTTAATCTATTAATGCCAAGTTACCGTATGCCTCGTTATACCCTTTACCTCTTTACCCTTTACCACCATGGGATTTTAATCTACCAAATTATCAATCGATTTATTATTAATCTATTGAGAATTGAAATATAGATTATAAGATGTATTATCCATTGATGTTTGAAAGGCGTATAGCTTAAAAGTGGACGGGTATTCTGCAATGCCGAAAAGATTTACAAAATACATTTAGAAAAGCAAAGAAAAGCAAGTGAGAATGACGAATTTAACTTAATAAAATATTGTCAGATGTCATCACCACACAAGATATAATTGAAGCCACAATGTGTCCTGCTCAGATTTTGGCATCTCAACCAAGCAATACAATATTTTGAAATCATCAATTGCGTGCGCAAGACACACTGGGAAGCGCATCTAATAAGAAGAGTATCCGCTGAATGTTTTGTTTAAGGGCGCGGGTCAATGATGCGTCCGACTATCAATGAGGAGTCCGACTGTCTACGGAAAAAAAATCTGCGTCGCCGTGCCTGGTCTTTGAACCTCGTTTAGCTTTCCACAACAACAATTCGCTGCCTGTTTCGGGGTCTTTACTGATGGATACGTCTCCCCACTTTAGTTTTCTCGACTCGTCACGCGCTCGAAAGCCGAAATGAAGAGAAAGAACCCACCAAACGGTCCTCTGGAGAACTTCTGGGTCATGTTTTCCGAACAAGCCCAACTCGAAGAACTTGTCTTCCTCTGCCGTTGTCAACTCTCGACAAGCTTGTGGTCGGTTTCCTTTGGCGTGTTGTTGGACAAGCTCTCGTTTCTTCGCTATATGAACTTCACGGGATTTGGCAAACACCTGGTCTTGTAGGATATTCATTGTGGAACTCTTGTCGTTCAAATATCTCTGCAAACTTCTCTGGAAGTCCTTGAGAGAAGTAGATTCATAAACGTTTCCATTTCTCTTGCGTACATTCATGAAAACTTTCGCGAGCTGGACATTTAATTCTGTGGCAGGTATGTTTTCAATTTCTCTTGTCTCGTATATTGATTCAAAGTACCTTTTAATAACTTTTATGTCGTACATCGTCTTTTTTTTCGTGTTATCTGGGCGTTGCCTTTCGATAAAACTTTGAATTTCACCCAACTCTTCGGGTGAAGTTAGATAACTTTGGCCCTCCATTGCTCTTCTAGGCGCTAAAACGGCGTTCCTATCAATGCTAGGAAGAATACTATCTTCTGTGGGATAGTATAATTCACTTTCACTGTGTTCTTCTTCGTCTGCAGACATTTTAATGTTAAAAAGTAGCCTTAAATAAGCTCGTCTTTAAATTTTCAAAAATAAAAACATTGCCTCTACGGCTTTAAATCTCGCGCGGCCTGTACGGGCTCATACGGACCGCTCGCGTAGCCAATCAGAGTTCAGAAAAGCGTAAAATATGATTTCGGACCGCAAGAAAAAAAAAATGGCAGTATTATTCCCTTTCTAACAAGTCTGCTGTATTGTGCAGCAACAGGTGATAACTGATAAGATTTTCTGAATTTTTGGACACCTATCCTTATACCTTCTTTGCACATTTGGATAGCCAGATTCAGACCAGCCAGTAATAACAATGCAACAGTCGACGTAACGTCATAAAATACAGACACTTTTTCAATAGGAAAGAACTTACCATGATAAATCCAGTAAAATAATTTGTGTTCATTATAACTAAATCCGTCACCTTCCTGTGTATTCTCTTCTCCAATGAAAACAATGAAATCTGCATGAGCCAGTCGTTAATAGCTAGCGAAAGCTTCTAATAGACCAAAGAACGTACGTGATAACTTCAATAAAGTATATTGTATTTATCTTGGAAACCACATTCATCACTTTGGTGTGCATTCTTTGGTCCAAAACCAAATGAAAGCCATTCATTGAAAGCTATATATAGACACGTTTTACTCGCATAGATTTCAAACACTTCATATAAAATGTTCTATAATACTTGGTTCTAAAATTGCACGATTTCACCTCTAAAATATGGTGAAGTTAAATATTTCTTTACAATAGTAACTCCCAAAACGGTGAACATTTTGACAAGTAATTCGACGTTTCGACTAGATTTTAGTCATCACCAAGAATAATGAAATTACTACATATCATAGGTATATTACAGTATATACAAGTGAAGAAATATGAGAAATTGATGAATTTATTTATTTATTTATACCGCTATTTACTGCGGACCCATTACATGCATTACATCGAACTAGACATTGTACGAACAGAAAACAAATAAACTTACGTACTAGCAAAGTTATTAACCAATACAATTGACAACGAAACAGGCAGACGGTCAGATATACAAACAAACATAAAGGCAGAAAGACTTGACACTAAAAACAAGAAGAAGGAAGAATCGGGCTACGGGCAGAGCCACGCTTAATGCAAACTGTCTTCCATGTTCGTGCATCATCTGGTCACAAGTTAGGTTTAATGCGTTCTGGTAATATTCTCTCAATAGAGATTTGAAAGAAGACTGAGATACTGTGGTTTTTATATATCCTTAGGTAGCACATTCCATACTCTTTTTGACCAAACTAAGTACGACCCAGCGTATGTTGAAGTTCGACACAGCAGCTGTTCCTTCAAAACAATACCTCCGCTCTACTTCCAGATCTTGTGGGTCTTGTTTCTTTTACTTTTGGTAAAACTGATCTGTCTGTGTAAGTCTTATTTTAGTTTGAATAGTTGTACCATGTCTAAAAAATCGTTCCAGTAAGGGAATGGAAGTAAATCTGTTTGGATGAGTCGTTCTTTGTAGGGAGTATTAACGCAGCGATGTTGCAGTTGTAGGTATTTGGTTGCGCGTCGTTGAATTCTTTCTAGTTTCTTCGATGAGTTTGAGGGGCCCAAACCAGCAATGCATAAGCAAGACGTGTACGAACGATAGATAGATTGTGAGATATAAAAACTGGAATTTTATCAAGACCACTAACTTTTCAGGTAGATAGCTTCTCAACTAATTTTTGAATGTCAGTCATGCTTGTCTCACTGACCTCAAAATTGCTTGATGCGCGTTGTTAGGTCGTATGCTTGTGAAGTGAGTATTGAAAGCTGTCAACAATATTGATCAGTGAACCCAAGCGGTCATTTTTGCAGGAATTTCGCTCGCTTACAATATTTTTGCCTGTAGCCTTTAGTTTTTTGCCTTCGTGGCCGATTGTGTTTTAAGCAAAGTTACCAACTTTCCTTTGTAGTTGAACCTTTTTCCCGGCGAAGGTGACGGTGTGTTGTTTGGTATACCAATTCATTTCAAACGAGCCATTAGCACTTTTGAATCTCATTGCTCCCCCTCCAGGCAGGATCCATTTGCCTTGATCTTTAAAGAACTTGAATAGAAATTGTTTTAAAATCTCCAAGCTTCCTTTCCAGAATATTATTTCGCCATTTAGCTGGTGATAGTCCGTAAAATTCGGGCCTTCATGTCATGTTGGTCTACTTCACCATTATCGTCATGAGCGGTGGAGGGTTCGAAGAGAGATGCTTCAAATACATTAGTCGAGAGATTAAAATCTGTTTCGGTTTCTTTCGTTATGCAGCTGGTATTATAGGTAATTGGAGACTCATCACATACAAAATTTCCTAGGGATTCAGCTGGTTTTTGTGAAGGACTAGCGGAGCACGCATTGACACGTCTGATCGCCATGCTCGCATAACAATGCATTAGCGAGCTTAAGATGCGCCAAATCTACGACGCGGACGTGACATAAAAACCGTTGCTAATGGTTGGAATCCAGTTTTATTTTGCTTCACTTGTGTCTCTGACTTTGTTTACCAACTGGAGGCCATAATTTTTATCCGTGTAGTAAAAGTGTGGGAATAGTTACAGTTTTTCTTCACGTCCGCGTCGTAGATTTGGTGCATCTTAAGCTCGCTATTGTCTCGTTTCCTTTGCATAGCCCAGAATGTTGGCTTTTTTAGCACTTTGTGTATTCCATGTCAGGTCAGATGACATCCAAACCCCAAGGTCTCTTTCGTGACTGCAATGTTCCAGATGTGAGTCACCTATGGTGTATGAGTTCTTGATTGGCTTCTGTTTGCGCGATATGGCCTGAACTTTACATTTGGCTGGGTTCAATGCAAGATCGGTGGAGGTGGACCACTCTACTAAGCTACTGAGCTATTCAGGTTTTCTTGCAGGTGGATGTTGTTGGTTTGACTTCATATGCACTTGGAGATTTTGGTGTCATCAGCAGAGGTAGCTGTCGTAGATGAGGATATTGCGTTAGGTGAATCATTGACGTACAACACAAATAGTACATGGCCGTGAATAGAGCCTCGAGGAACACCAGGCGTTACCGGCAAGGTTGGGGATGTTGCTCTAAGGGCAGAAAATATGGTTATAAACTTCAGAACTATCGAGTGTTTTTTTACCCTACTGTATTAACAGCGGTCTTTCCGATGTAACGTTCTTTGCAGCCTGGAAATGTAAACTCGTAGACGACAGAAATTCAGTATTTTGCTGGTCTTATTTTGATCTTTTAAAGAGACGAGTTAGTAGTTTTCCAGTTGACAATGGAGATTTTAGTAGAGGAGTTACTTTGCGCAGGAATGAAGAGGTTAGTTGTTTTAAATTTCAATCTAACGGTGTGCTTCTATTGCATGTCACACCCCCACACTACATATTTATTCCAAAAATGCTCATCTTTCCAATCTTCTGGTTTTCCCTTTTTCCCATTTTTCTTTTCCCTAACGAATTTATTCTTCTTTTTTCCTTTGCTGATTGCTGCAGGGCAATATAAATCGTTTATTTTAGACTAAATAGACCATGTTTCAAACAGCAACGTTTGATACACCAACATTTATTCTTATTTACTAATTTTTGTTGCATGCCCATATATGGGCATGCAACTTTCATATAGCTCTAAATTTCGTGTCGCGGTGTACGGGCGGTGGTAAATCACGTGAAAGATTCGTAAAATACGACAAATACCGAGTTTTTTCCGACGAGCATTTTCATCTGATGTGAAACTTTAATATGCACGCTTTCGTTTACAGCTTTCGTCGAGGAAACGCAAAGAAAATATCGATTGTTCGCCGAAAATTTACCGAATTTAGCCCCTTAGAAAAATATATCGAGGTAGGTAAAGCTTTGCTGTTTTTAATTTACCTGATAGTCTGTTATTTCGGAGCCGTTGTGGTCGCACTGAGTTTATATGAATTATCAGACGTTTTATAAATTTAAATACCGTGAAATTAAAGGCCACGCTATAAAATACTCGAAGCCATTGCCGTGCTCGCACTGATTATATTGTATGCAAAACTACATTACATTTTGTAAATAACATGAAATATATTAAAAATATCACACAATATTCTCATTAATACTATTGAAATTTGATACAACGAAATAGTATTCTACTTCGATAATTTCAATCGTAGTCGGGATCACAGTTTAATAAATATCTTCAATCTATTATAGTAATTCACCGTCTCCACGGGTTTTTATACCTTCAAAAAGCCACAATAAAGCTAAATTTTGTTTAAATTTGTAGGAAATATAAACATTGTTTACTTCAAATTAATAGTCGATCAGTGATACTGACCTTGACCTTGTTATTACCGTCCCTTGCAACTACAGATGAACAGTCGCTCATAGAAACATTGCCTAGCCTATTCGTGTGAGAATCTTAAGTCTTCTTATTATGACATAATAGCTATTTTTTAATAAATATATTGATATTAATAATATTGAATCAATATTTCAAATTTCAGGCCAGTTATACCAAAATTTATAAGCGCTTGCGCACCATAAAGGCGGATTTCCATTCAGTGCAAAATGTCGCACAATCGATATTTTGCGAACGTATTTCAAAAGAAAGTGATCGCAAAAAGTTGATCTCGCGATATTTTGCACTGATTGAGGCATGCAACATGTACGCACTGCGTACCTATTTTTAATATTCTTTTGCTGTTTTTTTTCTGGAATCTTATGGTTACATTTTTTGGTTATTTTTACCTTTTGTAAAAATAACCAAAAAAACACAATATTTACATTTTTTCGTTTTTCTTTTTAGCGCAAAGTTGCTTTGCACTGTTGTTATGAGGTTAAATTCAATTCAGTGACCGATCGATGGATGGATCGATCGATCGAGTAAACAATCCGGGGGGAGCTTGCAATTGATTTTTTATCACGTTTTCTAGAGCTTCGCGACTTTCGGCCAACTAATCGTTCATAGCTGTTTGTAGATTATAACAATCTATAGTTATATTCATGATGGTACATGTTCTTACTTATTTATCCGACATTTAGAGAAGTTATAACCAAATTACTGTTGCATTTCAAGCACTTGTTATTATATGATATGCCCCCCTGCAACATAAATACACGTGCATAATACACGTGCCCTCATATGTTATCATTTTACAATGGTGGACATGGACGAGCGGTGACTATTGAGCGGCGGTGTGAAATGCTGAAATCGTGTAGACTAGAGTGTATTACATCTGAGGTTGATAGTATTATAGCACAGTGGTTTATCTATGAAAGATACGGAGCGATGTATATATGAATAAGTACCAGTGTATAGTTTTGATATAAAATTATAAGTCAGCAGACAGCAGCTGATTTATGTCAGCTATCTTATTCTTGTATTATTACATCACGATATAACCCGCGGAAAGGAGGGCCGGGACCGCTCGACCGCTATATCAGCTAGCTTATTCTTGTTTTATTATATCGCGATAGAGTTAGGTTTACATGGCCCAATAAATAGTAAATAATAAAATAAAATTAACAAGTAAAGTTATATTTAGCACGCTACACATTCTCCTGTCGGCCGCCAGTTGGCCCGTTTATTAGGATCAAAACTGCGTTTTTTAACCTTCAAAATAAAATATTTTAGCTCAATATACTATCAAAATGAGGAGAAAAGTGAGACGAATCCACTGGCATACGGCCGAAAACGAGAAAACCAACAATTCCGAAGTTATCAAGGATCAAACGGACTGCATTTTTAATTAGTTTAATAATTTTGAGCGATTTGTCAACAATACAATTTCGCTTATTAAAACTGCACATTAACAAGTAAAGTTATATTTAGCACGCTACACATTCTCCTGTCGGCCGCCAGTTGGCCCGTTTATTAGGATCAAAACTGCGTTTTCTATAACCTTCAAAATAAAATATTTTAGCTCAATATACTATCAAAATGAGGAGAAAAGTGAGACGAATCCACTGGCATACGGCCGAAAAAGAGAAAACTAACAATACGAAAGTTATCAAGGTCAAATGTATTGCATTTTTATTTAAGACGAATGACGAATCCACTGGCATACGGCCGAAAACGAGAAAACCAACAATTCCGAAGTTATCAAGGATCAAACGGACTGCATGTCTTAATTAGTTTAATAATTTTTGAGCGATTTGTCAACAATACAATTTCGCTTAATTAAAACTGCACATTAAAACCTTCAAAATATAATATTTTGCGCTCTTTCAAAGGCCATAAATCGCTAGAATACTGTTGTTTAGTAATACATTTGACGTCTGTGAGTATAATTTCTTATGCTGAATCGAACGGTGGTATTTCTGTCCTTATTAGGCGCATAAAACCAAAGATAAGGCACAGCAAAAAGTCAATCGTGAGAGTCCGAGATTAATTCGAAAGAAAACATTCCTCGAAAAAAGGAATTCGGAAAACGTGAAGGATTATTTTGAGCCAAATGTATTGCATTTTTATTTAATTAATAGTTTAATAATTTTGAGCGATTTGTGAACAATACAATTTGAGCTTGTCTTTCAAAGGCCATAAATCGCTAGAATACTGTTGTTTAGTAATACATTTGACGTCTGTGAGTATAATTTCTTATGCTGAATCGAACGGTGGTATTTCTGTCCTTATTAGGAAATCAATTTTGAAATCAATTTTCCATCCTTAAATACAAGTTTTCACGCTGATTCGAACAGTAGTATTTTTGTCTTTGTTTGACGCATAAAACCAGAGATAAAGCCTATAGCAAGTAGTCGATCTTGAGAGTACAAGATTAATAACAATTAATAAATTCCGAGCACGTGCAAGGAATTTTTAGTAGGCGACTAAGGAAACGTATTGATGCGAACAAACTATAAAGATGTGGACTAAAGCCACCATTCAAGGAATTAAGCCGTGGAAAATTATCCATGCGAAAACAACAAAATTTACTGTCGTGGCTTGTAATATATAAAAACAAACGCCAAACAACTTCCTTATAGATGCACCAATCCTATCAGTTCATACATTAATCAACGTAAATCTTAATTATCATTTGTCATATCAACTTTGCACTATCCTTGGGATCTCTGATTTTAATTGTATATTACTATACATTTTTACTAGACAATATAAAGTATATTTCCTTTTACGTTGAATTTTCCAACCTGGCACTGTCTGCGGCTCGGATCGACGGGCAGAAGAGCGGTCTTAATGCTAAAAAGTGGACGTTGAGTTCCAGCTCCGCTTCACCGAATAAGTAAAAAAAAACACGATAGGAGTCGTGGTATTTCACCGGCGGATTGCTCCTCCCACTTCTTCTACACCTCTCATGCTTTTTCACAGTGTCAGACTAGAGTCAAGTTCAACAGGGTCTCCTTTCCTCGCTGTTGCTGCCAAGTAGATAGAGACAGTGGAAATCCATTCATGCTCGTCACCAGTTAGATGACGAGGCATTTGGCTACTGAATACTTTATTGAAAATTTTTAGTTTTACATACAGCACATTCGGGCAATGAGTGTGCAGCTCTCACATATTAATATAAAAATGTTTATAAAAAAGTATATAATAAAAATATTTACATAAGGCGAGGCACATTATTGTCTTAAGTCCAACATATGACTGTTCATGTCAAGTATTGTTTTAATTGCTCATTCATTGTTCAATGCATAAACTATTTAACTAATACTTCCATTCGCATTTACAGATCACAGTTCAGGACATATCAATGTTAGTATTTCATCACCCATTCATCCATCTCTCGCGAAATGTCGATCCCTTGAAATCCAACCAGATCTGCTAGCCTTTTTCCATCACAATTGTTGCGAGTAACGCTATTTCATTTTCGCCTAATCTGAGACTGTTTTTCAGTAGATCATAAGATGGACCTGCCAGGCCCTCCTCCAATTGAAACTCAAGCTTTTCCGCCTTTCCAAGCAACGATGTCAGGACGTCTAATTCCGGCTGGTGTTGGAATGGCCGCCTTTACAAGAACTGACCAATGATTTTAACCAACACCTTGACAGTTCTATCAAGCACGGAATTGTCTATCATTCCTGGCACCGTTGGTTCTTGGGCACAGCAGGAGTATGTGTACCATTGACTCGGTGCGTCCGCAGGCATCACACGCCACATCATGCTGGGGACGGCATCCTGGCTGCCGTAGCCATCAGGCCCCCTTCATTAATTTGACCAACGCGTGAATAGAGAAATTGCTGGTATTTTTAGGCATTTTAAGCCATCTTTTCACCGCGCCTTTTCATCGAGCAGTCAGATAGCCCCAGCTGATGATATAGTGCTGGAATTACATGTCGCTTAAGAATGTACAGCCGTTGCTGGGGCTTCAGAGGCGCCCTACTTAAATTGTCCAAATACTTCTGCAGTTTATCAGCAGACAGAGGTGTAGCACCCTTAGCAGAGAGTGGTACACCTATAAGTATTCGTAACTCTGCACTATAGATTTAGCTGAAATATCTTCGCTGCCCACAACTTTCTCTTTCCATCCACATCAATTTTCAAGGACGCTGACTTGCCTGCGCTAATAAACATTCCGCACTTGTTCAGATGGTCGTTGAAGCGGTCAATCTGACTCTCTGCCCCTACCGATATCTTGGTCGATCATCATTAAATTTAATGCCAAGATTGGGATCTAAGGTTGATAATGCCCAATCTATAACAGCATTGAACGGATGCACAGACATTGGGTCACCTTGCTTCACACCCCTCTTAACAGAAATTGGTTCGCTCTTTTTACCTCCAACCCGTATTTGGGTTTGGCTGCACGAATGAAATTCGTGCAGATAAGATAAGAGAAGGGGCGGCACGCCCATTCTCTTTGCCGCAATCAGTATGGACTGATGTGAAACTGAATCAAACGTCTTTGAGATGTCCAGAAAGACAACATTGAGCAGCAAGCACTCCTTCGTATGGTGTTAGATTATTGCTCGCAGGAGAACAACATTCTCTCCTAGCCCATCATCCGCCGGAAAAGCCTTCTGCCTATCAGAGATGGGCATGAGATCGCCCATTCTCGCCATTTATGGTAGCTCCTTACAATTAAGTTGGCCATTGTTGTAGGCCTATGTTTGGGTGGTCTGATGTCATTCAGATCTTTAGGGAGCAAAACAGTTTCGCCCATGCAGCAACTGGGGGGGGGGGGGGATAACCCGCCAGAAGCCGCTGGTTGAACCTTGCTCTCAGCTCTTCACCATTTAGCTGGTTTAGTTGACTCAGTACCATCCCGTCTTGTCCTGGCTTCATTGATTTAACTCGGCCGAGGAGATGGGGTCAATCATGCTCCACAAAACCGGCCCGACCGGCTCTGGAGTTCTAATTCATGTTGCAATATCTCTCTAATAATATATACTTTTTCATGCGCTTTGCTGTTCCTGTGTTCTTGAACATTTGCGCTTGTTTGGTTTTGGCTTCAATGATTTTGGCGAACTCCTTTGAGTGACGTAGAACACTGCTTGATATTAATTAGTTTGCAGATATTGCAAATATGGCTCCCTGAGACATGTGACATTTTTTCCATGGTCACGTCCAGCTAATCGTTTTCTAGTAAGGTTTTCAGGACTTGCTTGGCATCGCCAGCAGTAGGAGCCGAACTATCGCTTTATTTATTTAGAACATCCACGTTGTGCGTAACTGGTTGGAAGTGGTCCTTCAAGTTCGCACCGCAGCAGTGTAGTAATTTACTTCCTTTCTGCTTCAGTGTTGGAATATTTGAAGTAATGGTGTCATCATATTCGGACAGGGCGATATCAGGACTAGTGAGCCATTCGCAGGTGAATGGCTGCAGCCTATTTAAGCTTTTTGGCGGGACTGGGGCTTCTTTCGCTTCACCGTATAAATTTATGAAGCTGCGGACGCACTGTTTCCTTGACTTTGCTCCCTGGGGTTTGGTCGGCGAATTTGGAGGTGATGGCTGAATTGTCTGCATGAATAGAAAGTGATTGAGGCGAATTAGTTATAAGATGAAATTATATTTTACTGTGAAATACTATGGCTATATCGATTGAAAAACATTTATTGTCAACATGACAAAACAACATAATCTTACATACATCACATAAAAATAGGTACGCTAGGCGTACATGTATCTGCGAAAAAAACTTGATTCACATTTTATATTTTCTTGAAAGGAACTAAATAATTAAGATGACATGGGACAATTGAAATATTTTATTACTTATTATAATAAACATAATAGGAAATAAGATTTTAAAGTCAAACGTAATACACATCTGAACCCTGACCCAGCCGCTATGTGTTGTTCAGGGCCTGACCCTGACCCCCCACCCCCCACGCCAAGAAAATTTAAGTAGTTTTACTGATGTGGTTATGATTGTAACGGATAATTTAACCTGAAGTTCAGGCCCTAATCACAGAATAGGGCCTGACACAAAACCTATCTAAAGTGTGGGATTCCCGTCCATCTGGGAAATCTGATTGGTTGATCAGCATCATGAAGGATTTTGATTGGTTGCAAGTTTACATAAATAACAGTTTTAAAAATAGCTTGGTCAAGGCGACAATTAATATAAAGGTCAAACGCACGTACAAATTCTAGTATCGATTTCTTCGAATTTCTTTTTCTTTTATGATTTATGGCAGAAAATAAATCAAACAAACAGTATTTTGAAAGGGCTTTATCAAAATCTTGGACGAATTTTGGACACACGACGCCGAAAGAACAGCCAAACTAAGTCATGCATTCGAAAGCTTGTTGTTGACAGCCAAGATGTTCTGCCAACTGGCTTCGCCGGCAAAAGTCTTATTTTTAATATCAGGCTCCTGAGCTACATCGCCTTCTTCGTGGTACGATTGAGAATTTCATTGTTGTTGTTATTAGCCCGTTGGTCGTTAGAGTACTGATCCGCGTCCAGCAAGTTGAGACCTTGAGAAAGCTTGGCAGTCGAGCCGTGCACAGAACTGACTAATTAAATCTTTGTTTGCTGTTCGCCTGTTCGGTTAAATAGAGAAACTGACTCTTAATTATATAAAAGTACCTTGAATTTTTAAGTTTAATTAAAAAGCAAAATGCACACTCTGCGGACATGTTCATGAGAATATAATTTTTTTGTGTAGCGAAATCTACAACACTTCTCAATCATATTGCATGTTGTGTCTAAAAATAACATATGGGCGTCCCACGGTCTAGACAGGTTTTGTGTCAGGCCCTATTTCAAATTAGGGCCTGAACTTCAGGTTACGGATAATTATGCTGTCAGGATACAAAAATGTCATGCAAATAGTTTTGACAAAGAAATACTTAGATTAAAAATATTTGTATTCGAAAGTGTAAGGCCAACTTCGCAAGTTGTTTTGTAATCTTGAATATGAGCTATATTGAAGTACTATTAAACGATTTGTAAACTTGTGACTGACTTGTATTACAAGTCAGTCACAAGTTTACAAATCGTTTAATAGTACTTCAATATAGCTCATATTCAAGATTACAAAACAACTTGCGAAGTTGGCCTTAAACGTTCATAGAAACAAATTAGAGGATTCTTATAAGATGCTTTATAATCATATAATAGGTTCCAGGAATTTATCTTATTCGTTCTCCAAAACGCTATAACCCGTGAGTTTACAGTATGTGCAGTATACGTTCATTAATAGTTTATAAAATGCTTCGGAATGCGGGTTGAAAAATTCATTCGCGAAGTCTCAGGATCTAAATTTATATTAACGACCACAATATACTTCACACTAATAGTCTTTTTCTAAATATGAAGAAAGCCAAAGAAAACAATAGTTTCAACAATATCAACACGAAATGTAAAGTTTTTTAAAGTTAATAATCATCAGGAACTTTTAAGTCGGTAACAATAGTTTCAACAATATCAACATGAAATGTAAAGTTTTTGAAAGTTAATATTAATCATCAGGAACTTTTAAGTCAGTAACAATCTTCGAATTGTTCTTAAAGGACACCTCCACAGCAGGAAGGGCGAGCATCGTTGAGGTTATTACTTCTTCCATCTCTGTCGTGAGCACCGCCTTATCAATTGTTACTATCTTAGCGATGATATCATCGAAGATGGTTACAGTGACAATGCCAGTGGGTGTGTTGAGAAGCATTTGCAAATGGAAATGAGGTGGACATGTTTCTTTCTTTTGCCTCATGTCACAAACGCCGCATTTGACAATTGTTGAAGCGGGTGAATGGATTTTCTTGTTACAACTTCTACAGGAAATATAAGCGTTGAAGTTGGATATACCCTCTATATCAGCGATGACGGTTGTTGTTGTGAAGCTGTCTGGCAACTTTGAAGGACTAACGAGGATTCCTTCAAATGGACTGGTAGACACAATTGAACAGCCGTTGGGAGGAGTTGTGACGTACACTTCACTTGAATCATTTTTCACTCTGATGTTTTTAAAATTGTACGTCTCGCCATCTTCGACGTCCTCGCAAAAGCTCTCCCATATCACAATTCGTATGGAGCCGAATGGGTCGACAAGGAATCCTTCTCTCTTCTTCTTTGGCCCCGATCTTGTTGTGATAATTTTTTCACCAGAAAGTTGAACTACCTTTGCTTTTAAAGTCACCAATTGGTTTTCGTTGATTGCCGACAAAGACGAAATATTTTCAATGGGGGGAATTTCAACGAAATCAAAATCAACATTTGTTTCTTCGAGTTGCGTACGCGAGTTCATAAGTATGGTTCTATGATGACCTTCGTCTTTCTGCGAAACATTTTTCATTTTCACAGGTGACTTTGTGTTGGAGAAGGTTTCAAACTCGCCACGTTTCTGGTGTGCAAAGCAAATCCCACGAACGATGCCATTTTTGGTCTGCACTTGTACATCGAAATATTTGGTCTTGTCGCTATGCTTTAGCGGAGAAAGGTTGTGCAAAAAACCAACAATTTCGTCTGCCATGTTCAACGTTTTACTTTGATCTTAACTTTAGCGAGAAGTGTGATAATGAGTAGCCTCCTGCGCAGACGTTGACAATGAGCAACAATTTTTATTTATCACCGATATTTATAACCAATCCTGAACTATTATTAGGTGATTACAGCATAAATCCCTGGGAGAATTTTTGACGTAAGTGGTATTTATATCTGCAAAGTGTTTCGATTTTTTGAGTAAGTGGTATTTATATCTGCACAATATATATACCGGTATTGATAAAAATGGTCGCATATATAGGAAAATTGGAAACGTAGATTACTGCATTTGTTACATATAATTGAAGGTGCATGGTTGTTATTCTCTCGTATTTTGCCCACAACCGCGTTTTATACAGTTTGGCGAGTTGTGAATTAGGCCAAAATCAAAACAAAATAATAGATTCATGCGCGCGGGCAACATCATTGGGCGTTTATTAGATCAGTTTTGACGCAAGTCGTATTTATATCTGCAAAGTGTAAATAAATCATTTTACGAAAGCGGTATTTATATCGGGTAGGGATAAAACACGGAAACGGATTCCGTTTCGTTTAGGGACGGATCATTAGATATTTGAAGGGGGGGGGGCAAATACCAAAAAAAAATCGTGCACAGAAAAAATCAAAAATAAAATATCGTGCACAACAAACCTATTGGAAAAAAATCGAGCAAGAAATAGGGTTGATTTTTAAAAATCGTATTGCAAGTATTCTAAAACATTAAAATGGTGTTTTTACGACAATCGGAAAAAAAATATGCCTTCTCCCCCCCCCCCGTCCCCCCCGTCGACGAACTTTTCGGAGAATTTTCCGGGAAAAATTTTTTAGGTCGTCTAAAAAAAATATCGTGCAAAGGATTGTTGCCGAAAAAAAATTCTTGCAAGCAATTTGGGGATGAAAAAAAATTCGTGCACAGAAAAATTGCCCCCCCCCCCCTCAAATATCTAATGGTCGTCCCTTAGATGTAATAAAGCGCAGTGGAGAGGGCGATTTTTCGGATAGGATGCGTTACTTAAAGGGAGGGGGTTATGTCGTCATGTTTGGCGTCTGAACCAGGGTAGGCGTGAAAGAGCGTTTTAATTAAACAACGAAATGTTGCAGAAATCAGGGCCTTTTTAAGGATTTTCGGGGGCCGGGGGGGGGGATTTTCTAAAGAGACTTTATTTAACGTGGTGTACTGTACGTTTACTCTTGAAATTTAGAGTCTGAATTGACTGGAAATGCTGGCAATTTTAATCATTGGATTGTGAAGATATCGAATAAAAGTAATTTCGAATTCATTTCTATGTAAAACTACCGCTTAATTGCACGTGGAGTAACTCCTGTTAACGTTTCACTCACACAAAGGGTGGTTTCTTAGGGAGCCGGCTAAAGGCGAGCGAGCGACGTTGCTAAATTCAGGTCCATGTCAACACAAGTCAATTTGTTGCCAATTCCCAACACCTGCATATTATTTGATTATAAAGCATCTTATACGAATTCTCTAATTCGTTTCCATAAACATTACAAGTGAGAAGTTTACAATGTTTTATAGTGCTGGGGGGTGGGGCAACTCGTATTCAAAAGTTAGGCAATTTCAATAGGGCTAAAAACTTGTCGACAATTTTTTTCCCGCTGGCACGCATATAACATTCATATTCAGTATTACAAAAGAATTTACGAAATAATCAAAGTATTTAACTGTTCAATCTTTATTTGTTTCATTTATAGCCACAATAGAACATTAAATAATTTTTGTACTAGCATATTTTGTTTTTCTGTGTAAAACAAAATAAAGAATGGTGCACTTAAGGGAATATATTTTGTAATTTAAAGCGAATCAACCGTGCGGAAACTAATTGTTTAATTTTTTGAGCAACTTTTTGCATATTAAGATTTAAGTGATGATTGAACAGTTGAATACTTTTATATCTTTATATGCATATTCTAACTTTTCCAGGCTCAGCTACATGTAATAGTAGTAAGTTTTTTGTAGGTTTGCATAGCTTGCGTAATATAGGTTTGCATGGCGATAAACATATAATACTTTTTGTTTGTGGAAATACCACGTAAATTTATTACTGCAAAACTTTCGATCCATAAGCCCGGATCTTCATCAGTGCTAATAATATGCCAATAATTGATTATTATTCACACATATCATTAGCACTGACGTAGATGCGGGCCCGCTTACGGATCGAAAGCTTTGCAGTAATAAATTTACGTGGTGTTTCCACATACAAAAAGTATTATGTGTTATAGTAAATTCAAATTTATCCCGAGGCAGAACGGGTCATTTGAATGCGCACTTTAGGCAGTGGAAACTCCGAATGGGTCTATTTTTGATCACATAAGCCAAATGCAATAATTATTTTACCACACATTTTAATAGGTACGCCAGGCATACTAGCCTGTGTTCCAGTCCACTACACCGTTGTATGATCTGTGCATAATAATATAATGCCATGACTCCGGTTGCTACGGTAATATTGGCTATCGAGTACCAGTTGACTTTATAATTTGTTGTATGGAAACAACATTCGTTACATATATTTTAAGTAATCAATACATTTTCAACCAGTTGCTTTAGAACGCCTGACATTTCAGGCTACCAGTTGCTTATGAAGATTAAAATAAAAAATAAAATGAATATATTTTTAAAATTAATGTCACAACTAAATAATATTACAATGAACAAAGCTTATCAAAATAGAAATCGTTACATAAGTAGTAATATAGAGGCCGTTCGACCCCCATTTTTGCGGCGGTGGAGTGCGGCGGTGGAGTGTGGAGTGTGGAGGGTAATTAGTATTCCAATACGTCATAATTATATGCAATGACGTCACGCGGGCAGGTTTAAACAAGGACATGTGAAACTTGCTGACTACGCATTTTTTAGCGTCCCCCCACGTGTGTGGTACAATGGAGGGATTAGGATTGGCTTACTTTGATTGGTTGTTTGATTTAACGAGCGTCTGTATAAAAGCGTCAAGCGTTTTGTAATAGACATAGTTCTGCATTTGACAACGCTTAGTTGAAGTTTTGTGAAATTTTTCGTGAAGAAAATTACTTGGAAGAAAATGGCACAACAACATCGAGAGAATATTTTGTAAGTTTGATTTAAACTGAAAATTAATATAATATCGAGAGTTTTGTTTATGTAATTCATTTCTATATTTTCAGGAGAAATCAATTCATTTCCGATCTCGAGAATGACGAACTCAATCGCCAGCTTTGCGCCGTGGACACATTTTCTTGGTCGCCAGAGACGCAAGAGCAAATTCTGTCTGAATGGGATGACTGGCGACGAGACGAAAACGCTGGACATAGCTGTGATGAATGTGGCAAAACGTTTACACGTTCGGACAACCTCAACCGGCATATGAAAACTCACAGTGACAAAGATCATGAGTGCTCGCGTTGTCATAAAACGTTTAATCGGAAGGTACGTAATTTACAGGGATATATCTCAAAACTTAGAAAAGTATTTTGAGTTAATAATGTCTATTTATATTATTTCAAGGATGCTTTCCAGAGACGCAAGAGCAAATTCTGTCTGAATGGGATGACTGGCGACGAGACGAAAACGCTGGACATAGCTGTGATGAATGTGGCAAAACGTTTACACGTTCGGACAACCTCAACCGGCATATGAAAACTCACAGTGACAAAGATCATGAGCACGAGTGTTCGCGTTGCCACAAAAAGTTTAATCGAAAGGTACGTAATTTACAGGGATATATTTCAAATCGTAGTAAGGTATTTCAAGTTAATAATATCTATTTATATTAATTCAAGGATGACTTGAACCGACATATGAAAACTCACAGTGACAAAGACCATAAGTGCTCGCGTTGTGTCATAAAACGTTTAATCGGAAGGTACGTAATTTACAGGGATATATCTCAAAACTTAGAAAAGTATTTTGAGTTAATAATGTCTATTTATATTATTTCAAGGATGCTTTGAACCGACATATGAAAACTCACAGTCACAAAGACCACGAGTGTTCGCGTTGCGCACGAGCGCCGTGGCGCGGAACGGGAATATACTTGTAATGTATGTGGTGAAGTATTCCGAAATATATTTCCATTCCAAGCCCATCAACGCGAAGTCCACCAAGTTGGCCGTGGGAAACGTACCAAGACGCCGACCGGGCGAACAAAAAGGCAAAGAACTGATGAACCAGGTATGTATAGATGAAAATATTTCGATTACTAACTTTGTATTTATACACATATATTTTTTCTTTTAAGAACCGCCATCATCTTCGACACGCGTTAACGAAGGTAAGAGAGTATATATGCTGTGTAATAATTTGAGTTAAAATCACACTAATACATTTTTCTCCTTTTCAGGGGCGTCTACGTCTACAGTCGTCAACGAAGGTATGAAATTCAATTTTTATATCGTATATAGTATATTGATTGTGGTGATTTGATGTGTATATTGACAATGTTAATTACTCGGTTTTAAAACATTGCCAGGCGAAAGACTTTGAGATCCTAACGTTCACATTTGAAAAATATTTTCATGTTGTTTCACTGATGTTTGTGTTTTCAAAACCTGATAAAAATACTCGAGTAATTTTTATAGCGTGGGTTTATCATGTTGCTATGTGAAATTTGTATGTTTCTAATTATTCATGTTAGACTTGTGTTCATTTGATTTATTAATTTATGTCATTGTATGGGTATTTACGCTACATCATTTTTTTGTAACATTTGCTAGCGTTTTATAGTGAGGTAAAAGCCAGGCGAAAGACTTTGAGATCCTAACGTTCACATTTGAAAAATATTTTCATGTTGTTTCACTGATGTTTGTGTTTTCAAAACCTGATAAAAATACTCGAGTAATTTTTATAGCGTGGGTTTATCATGTTGCTATGTGAAATTTGTATGTTACTAATTTATTCATGTTAGACTTATGTCGATTTTTTATGAATCGGGTGTTTGTATGAAAAAATTAGTGCGAAGCTCTAGACAAAAATAAAGAATCGGGTGTTATTTCTATAGGACCCCAACCGTTCCCTCAAGATCCCCTATTACCCCCATCTAACCTGCCTTCCCAACTTCACCGAGATCATTGGCGTGCTATACGCACGCGACAGAGTCGAGACAACCGAGTGCAAGATTGGTACAACTATCGTCTAAGCTCAGCGAATATGGGTCAACTTGTCAACGATATAGACCGTATATTTGAAGATCAAACCACGGTCTTTAAGTTAAATCTATCTTTTGGTTTCGTATTGTTTAATAACGAGACGCAACAAATGCAATACCACCACCCCTCAGCAAACAACAACCGTGTTTTCGACTCCCCATTCCAGATCCATAATCGCGAGGATTTGGTCCAAGTGCGTACAGCGTTGGAAAACATCGACATTCATGAATGGGCTCGACAACAGCGTCCCAACTCCAAATGGATTGTCATGGATTTCACCAACGTTACCTTCTACGTCACCAAACTTCGAGACCATCCCATAGGTCGTAGTGTCCGACTACCCAAATACATACTGGATAATCCTGTTATTGTGTCGCTCGACTGTGATAAAAACACTGGCTTGCCATACGAAGACAAACTATGCTTCTTTCGTTGTTTGGTCCTACACCGTGGATGTCATTCCAAAAATTTAGAACGTGATACTAAGCATTTCTACGAACAGTATTCTGACGCTGAGGAATTCGATGGTGTTACCCTAGAGGAACTACCTGAACTGGAAAAGTTATTCGAGTTAAACATTTACGTGTATCGCCTTACAGAGCTACACGACGAGGACGAAGACAAGACCTCCATTGTGGCTCAACTGATACAGCGCTCCCACCGTAGATATGCCAGTTCGATGTATCTGAACCTCTACGGTAGTCACTTCAGCTACATTAAGAATTTGGCCATGTATTCCAAGTCCTACTGTTGTTGCAAATGTGACAAAATGTGGAAAACGGCCAAAGCCTTGAACAAGCACGAGCGAACCTGTGATGGAACTATACGTCACATCTTCCCTGGTGGTGCCTACAAAGTTCCACAATCTATCTTCGACTTGTTGGCCGATGAAGGAATCGAGATCCCTGAAGACCTCAAGTACTTCCCTTATCGCGCCACCTTCGACTTTGAATGTTATTTTAAACATACATCTAACCATTCAAGAAACACCGAAAAACTCACGTGGCAAGCCGAACATATTCCGTTGAGTGTCTCTGTATGTTCGAACGTCCCTGGCTACACCGAACCCAAGTGCTTTGTTTCCTCTGGTGACACGAGTAAAATGATCCAAGAATTCGTGGAATATTTGGTAAAAATTAGTCAAGAAAGTTATGTCTTGTTGTTGGATCTGTTTGCGGATGTGTTTCGTCAAATTGAGGAACGAGTTAATCAGGTATAATTTACACGTATTAGATTGTTAGTATACTTCTTATCCTTAATATTTTTTCTTATATCTTTAGGTGGGGGAAAACGCTGAGATTATGGAAGTTGCCGCGGGGGAGGATAATGAGGTAAATTATAGGAAGGTTATTTTTGCACTTATATTCTTTATATTCTAATATATCTTATGTTTTAGCAAAATACAGAGGAACAGATGATAGAGGAAATGGTGGGATGTCTGATGGGGCTGAATAGTGAGGTAAACTATATATTTGATCTATTAGATGTTTATAATATGTGTACTTATTATGCTGTATATTTTCAAGAGAGGGAAGTAAGTGATGGCGAAGTGGTTGGGGACGAAGTGAATGAGTCCGAAGCAGAAAAAACCCACCCACTGGAAAAGTTGGTCGAGAAGTTGGAACTTTACTTGATGGAACTTCCTGTGATCGGCTTCAACTGGGGCAAGTACGATATAAATGCTGCTAAGAACCCATTCTTCTCTTACCTATTGAAACACGAGCAAGTTAAGTTTGTGATAGAGAGAAACAATAACCACATGTGTCTTAAGACGCAACACTTAAAGTTTCTCGATATCACAAACTACTTGGCCCCCGGTTTCAGTTACGAACAGTTCCTCAAGGCTTACGAGTGTTCCCAGACAAAAGGCTACTTCCCTTACGAGTGGGTTGATTCCCTTGGAAAGTTGAACAACCCAACCCTACCACCACGCGAAACGTTCCATTCCAATCTGTCCGGAACCGATATCACCGAGGATCAGTACCGGTATTGCGAGCGTGTATGGAACGAACAGAATATGACAACTTTCCGTGACTTTCTCGTGTGGTACAATAACTTAGATGTCGTACCTTTCCTCGAGGCTGTCCAGAAAATGAGTAATTTTTGGCAAGAAAGAAACATTGACATGTTTAAGGATGGAGTAAGTGTGCCTGGCTTAACTATGAAATACTTGTTTTCAAACATTCCAGGCACCTACTTCTCCTTGTTCAGCGACAAGGACAAGGATATGTACTATACCATGAAAGACAATAACGTAGGGGGCCCAAGTATTATCTTTAACAGGTACCATGAGAAAGGGAAAACATCGATACGGAAGGAAGAAATGCGAGCCAAAGGAAAAGAATCGAAACCCTGCAAAAATGTGGTTGGATACGATGCCAATGCACTGTACCTCTGGGCCATCATGCAGAATATGCCGACGGGGCAGTACACAAGACGGTTAGAGGAAGATGGGTTCAAGATAAGATGGAGTGGAAAAATGGCAATAGAGTGGTTGGAGTGGGAAGCGTACCAGCGGAGAATACAGATCAGACACGAGTACAACAACGCGGAGAAACGAATTGGCGCTCGTCGTCTCCCCGTTGACGGTTTCCACGCTGAATCACAAACGGTGTTCCAGTTTCATGGTAAGTTGAAATTAGTTAATATTAATTAGCTAGGATTAAGTTAATTGTGTGGGAGTGAGCTAATGAGTTTTTAGCGATTGCGTGGGCTTGCAGGATAATTTATTTTTCTTTTGTAGGTTTAACTGTATTGTATTTTATTCTACTAGGATGTTATTGGCATGGCCACAACTGCCAACTTAACGAAGGTAAAGAAGTCAACGAGAAGCGTGATAAGCCCATGAAAGAACTCCTTGAAGAGACAAAAAGAAACAGTGCCTATATCACGAAGCAGGGATTCAATCTCGTTGAATGTTGGGAATGTGAGTGGCGAGATATGAAGAAACGAAACAGCGCGCTGCAACGATTCATCGCCACCCATCTGCGTCGACCACTGGATAAAGTGAAAACGATGACAACTCGGTCCATTATCAACGCAGTGAAGAATGATAAACTATTTGGATGTGTGGAGTGTGATATCCACGTACCTGAGAGTTTGCGAAAATACTTCAAAGAGATGTGCCCCATCTTCAAGAATACCGAAATACGTCGAGAAGACATCGGTGAGTTCATGAAGAGCTATGCCGAAGAAAACAACATCATGCCCCGACCTCGGCGGAGTCTCATTGGAAGTATGATCGGAAAGAAGATAATGTTGGCAACGCCTCTTCTAAAATGGTATTTAGAACATGGTTTAGAGGTACGTTTTAAATATTAAAAACTTGTAAAATTGCAGGAGAAATTTTTTTAACAAATTGTATTATCGTTTTAGGTAACACACGTCTACCAGATAGTCGAGTATACCCCTAAGCCATGCTTCAAACCTTTCGGTGACGCTGTATCGGATGCTCGTCGTGCTGGTGATGCAGACCCCTCCAAAGCCATCATCGCGGACACGATGAAATTGTCGGGAATAGGTGAGTTTTAAAATCACGCTGTTGTGACGTATTCAAGAAATACTCATTTTTTTGTATTTCTATACAGCTCATACGGGAAGACCATCACCAACAAAGAGCGTCATCGCAAGGTGGATTACTGCAACGATGATGAGGTTTCTGAATTAATCAACTCACCATTCTACCGCCACGTGAACGTGATCGACGATGACACCTACGAAGTGGAAAGTGCTAAGAAGAAAATTAAGTTGGACTTACCACTACAGGTATGTATTGCATGATCATTTTGTCATTAGAAATATAAATTAATAAATTATTCTTATTTTACAGGTGGGGTTCTTCGTGTACCAGTATGCGAAACTCCGAATGTTACAGTTTTACTACGACTGCTTAGATACATACCTTGACCGTTCCGATTATGAGTATTGCGAGATGGATACAGACAGTGCCTATATCGCTATTAGTGGTGAAAGTGTTGAAGAATTGGTCAAGCCTGGTTTAAGAGAGGCGTTTGAGAACGATAAATGTAACTGGTTTCCTCGTTCCGATACAACTGAACATGCGAAATACGACAGGAGAAAGCCGGGATTGTTTAAAGTGGAATGGGAAGAGGAAGGAATTGTATCTTTATGTAGTAAGACGTATTATTGTTTTGGGGAGAAAGATAAGTATAGTTGCAAGGGTGTAAATAAGAAAAATAATGTAATTAATAAAGATAAATATTTAGATGTGATTTTTAGTAAACGTAGTGGGTCGGCTGTAAATAGGAGTTTTAGGGTTTTAAATAATACTATGTGTACATATGTTCAAGTTAAGAACGCTTTTAGTTATTTTTATTCAAAACGTAAAGTTTTGGAGGACGGCGTCTCCACTATTCCATTAGATATTTAGTTTGTAAATAGTCAATATATATATTTTTCAAAACATACTGTGTATTTCTCTCTCCCCCTCCCCCATGCAGAGTTTCAGGGACAAAATAAGTCCCGCACGGGACAAACAGTCCCGCAGGGACACTTTGAGCGTTTCCGGGACTTCCGGGACAAAAAAAGTCCCGTGCGGGACATTTATATAGAGACGGGAGTCAGGTAAGGTCTTCATTGTACATCATGCCTCGAAAGCGTAAAGACTGTCCGATTTGTGGTAAGAAAAATTTGTTGAAATTATCTAACCATTTAGCAGGTGTTCATGAACTTTCCACCGCACAAAGACAACCTTTCCTTATACGTGCCAAATGCGCACCTTTGGACTTGGAAGTAGTTTTAACTGAATTGTATAGACTTATTGGGCGCATGATATAAATAGTGACCATCAAAATATATGATTTCATTTTCAACATGTACTCCATACAGTTAACACATCCGTTTGGTCTTCTCGTGTCTGGCAGTACAAAGTCAGGCAAAACTACATTTGTGAAAAAACTTTTGAGTTACGTTAATGTCATGATAGATAAACCTCCAGAAAACATTGTGTATTTTTATGCCGAGTACCAAGATACGTTTGGAGAAATTCAAAATTTAGTGCCTGGAATAAAATTTATACAAGGTTTACCTGATGATATACTGGATAGTATTAATCCCGAAACACGCAATTTATACGTCATTGATGATTTCATGGGTGAGAAGGACGGAGTTATTTCAAAATTATTCACGAAAAAATCGCATCATGGTAACCTGAGTGTGATCTACATTGTACAAAATTTATTTCATCATAGCAAAGAACACCGTACAATTTCTCTCAATGCAAGTTATTTATGTTTAACGAAAAACGTGCGAGACGCAAGTCAAATTATTCATCTCGCTAAACAACTGTATCCCAGTAACACAAAATTTTTTTAACAAGCCTATCAACTGGCAACCAAAGATCCCTATTCTTATCTATTTGTCGACCTAACTCCTACGTGTCCTGACGAGATACGGATTCGATCCGGGATCTTTCCAACCGATACGCATTGAATCATTGAATCATGGATTGAATCATTGAATCATAAGATTGAATCATTGTATCATAAGATTGAATCATTGAATCTTAAGATTGAATCATTGAATCATGGATTGAATCATTGAATCATAAGATTGAATCATTGAATCATAAGATTGAATCATTGAATCATAAGATTGAATCATTGAATCATGGATTGAATCATTGAATCATAAGATTGAATCATTGAATCATGGATTGAATCATTGAATCATAAGATTGAATCATTGAATCATGGATTGAATCATTGAATCATAAGATTGAATCATTGAATCATAAGATTGAATCATTGTATCATAAGATTGAATCATTGAATCATAAGATTGAATCATTGAATCATAAGATTGAATGATATCTTCACAGAAGCTTTACAGAAGCTTTACAGAAGCTTCACAGAAGCTTCACAGAAGCTTTACAGAAGCTTCACAGAAGCTTCACAGAAGCTTCACAGAAGCTTCACCTGAGCCTAAGGAACTTGGTTCCGAGCTTAAGGAGCTGGCTCCGAGCCTAAGGAGCTCGGCTCCGAGCCTAAGGAGCTGTTTCCAAGCCTAAAGAGCTTGGCCCCAAGCCTAAGGAGCTTTGCTGCGAGCCTATGGAGCTTGGCTCCCAGCCTAAGTTGTGTTGAACATATCAACATAGCGGGAAGCTTATTAAGGATAAGAAAGATAAGAAAATAAAGATAAGGAAGATAAAGATAAGAATAATGAGGCTAAGAAGATAAAGATAAGGAAGATAAAGATAAGGAAGATAAAGATAAGGATAATAAGATAAAGATAAGAAGATAGGGATAAGGAAGATAAGAAGACAAAGATAAGGAATTTATCAACTACAGAGAGGTTAAAACTGTGTTCTCATCTAACAGTCCCAAGACATACCAAATGGATTACAGAAGATGAAAGCAGCCACGATGATGAAAGCAGCTATGATGAAGATTCTGATAGCGAAACCCCTGAAACAAGTGACAATATATATTAGAAGCATAATTTTGTAAAACGTTTTGAAGAAATAAATGTACTTAAAAACTGAAATATTCTGTAATTTTTGCCGGCAAAGCCCGCTCTTTCCGCCCGCGCGATCCGCCCGCCTGATTACTGTACAAATATGTTGTACGTTAATATATGCATGCACGCAAGCGTCGCCAATGACTTAGTAACACATAACAACGTATATGACGATTACATGTTTTTATCGCAAAATATATTACAACTGTTCCAATTCTAACTTATATTCTTGATAAGCTTACTTATGATCATCTTAACAGTATATATGTATGTAGAATATTTGCTAAAATGACGTTGAACAACATGTAAATATTGACCTTAACAACGACGTTGACAACTCGGGATTAGGAACTGTTTAGTTTAAAATATGTCTAAAATATGTTTAAAATATGATTTTTGTGACGAATAGATTCCTTATATGCCCTCGTTCGTTTTCGTTCATCATGCGGCAGTCATGTTGTCTTTGACTAGGATGACCGACTTGACAACCATTACAGGATTCCACACAAAGTCTTTCAACTTTTGGCTGCAAAGCGCTCTTGTCTTGTCTAAATCGCTTTCTCTCTTCCCGCACGGAAAACCCGCGACGCCCGCGCAATGAATATCCTAATATACCCGTATTTATCCACACAGTAGAAAAATGCAAATCTCTGATAAAAGTTAATCCTTTAATTAGTGTCACCCTAACAACACATAGCAACCGGTGTGCTTTAATATAGCTTAAATTTATTAACCTTATCCGAGTTTTAGTACATTAAAAAACTATTAAAAAACTAGCAATAAAATATAGAAATCGCTTGACAACTATATATCATAACCTCTAATTTCCATGTGTTTATATAACTCTAAACAGCAACATATTCTCTCGTATATAGACTTCATATGGCAGACCGGGATTTAAATATTAGTTTAATTGTAGATACATAATAACTTTTACCGCATGCTATTTCTCAGCGTTTTGACACTTGATAATATTTATATATTACTTAACAACAAAACATATAGCTGTATACCCCGAATATATAAGTTTTAGATATATAACACTAATGCTATTTCTCAGCGTTTTTACAATAACAGCAAAATGCTAGAGTTGTACTTATAAAACTCCAGACAACAACATGTTCTCTTCTATATATACCTAACTATTGTATCACACACGTGAAGGGACGCTAAAAAATGCGTAGTCAGCAAGTTTCACATGTCAATGTTTAAACCTGCCCGCGTGACGTCATTGTATATAATTATGACGTATGTTAATGATGATGCGCCACCACAATCTATGCTAATGATGATGCGCCGCCCCCGCGCCACCACACGCCACCACACGCCACCACAAAAATCCGGGTCGAACGGCCCCTATATTACTACTTAGAGTAAAACGATTTTTTGCCATTCATGTATAGTTCTTTCGAGCTGAGGAAAGCTTGTTTTACTATAGACGAATCTGGTTGCTGGCATATAGATTTAATATAGTTTAGTATCATTTTGAACATCGGAAACAACAAAGGGAATCTACCTAATTCTCCTCTACTTACAAAATTACTGGCTTTTCTGTTTACGCCTAGATAGAGTTTGCAGTACTTCTGTAGACGATTTATCCCATTTGGTAAAATCATCGTCAATGTAAACTCCCCACACCTCTGAGTTGTATAATAAAACGGGTGACATCACACCGTCGAAAATTTTACCAGCTATTTCTGGGGGTAGGAGGTGAAAATCGATGTGTTTGCGTATTTTATATAGAGCATGCATTGCTTTTTCACTAAGTTGTTGGTTTGCAACAGTAAATTTTGTATTAGGTGTTAATTTTAAACCGAGATAGGTATATTCATTAGTAATAGTAATCGGATTATTTCCTATGAAAAAGTTCATGTTTGTTAGTTTGGATTTATGTTTTTGTAAAATCGTTACTTTCGTTTTCATAAGGTTTACCTCCATGAGCCACTTTTTACTCCAACTATGAAGTGTGTTTAGGTTGTTTCGGAGACCAGATTTTGATTTTGACAGAATTACCAGGTCGTCTGCATAGAGAAGACTGCTTATGGTAATACCATTTGATAATATAAATGGATCAGAATTTGTTTTTTCTAATAATTCTGGGAATTCATTAATATAGATATTAATTAAGAGGGGACTTAGAACACAACCTTGACGGACCCTTCTTTGATAGGAAAAGTAGGGGGTTCTATGATCTGATATCTTAATTGCACATTGAGTATCTGAGTACATATTTTTTATCAGTTCATAGAATTGCCCACCTATTTTATTCTCTAATAATTTTAGGAAAAGGCCGTCATGCCAAACTGAATCAAATGCTTTTTTAAAGTCGACAACACAGGCATAAATTTTTCCATTTTTATGTTGATTTACATATTTATCATGCAGTGTTTTAAGTGTTAAAACATGGTCAGCTGTTCTGTTACCAGGTATAAAGCCTATTTGAGAAGGATGAATAATTTTGTTTTGCTTAGTAAATGACAATAATCTTTTATTGAGGATGGAGCAGAAAAATTTTCCTACACAACTTGAAACGCAAATTCTTCTGTAATTGTTGGTGTCTAGTTTATTTCCTGCTTCCCGAATTTAATATGGTATTTAAACCCCTTCATAAGTATATTAAGACTATAGATATAGGAGATCTAGATTGCTAACGCATACCTAGCGCAGGCGGGGCCTACATGATAAATCCAAGATGGCGGTACAACAGGGCAAAAAGACTATAGATTCTATTACGAAAATCAGGATTTTTGCATTTTTTGCCGTCGCATTGTTTCGAAACTTATTCGGTCAAATTTTATGGTAAAGAGAAACTTACCGCGAAGATTTTGAGATATATATGATTGAATTGGATGAAAACTCGCAAAATTATCCAGCGATAAAAGTTCGTGTGAAATGGTCAGTTGGTCAGTTGGAGCGTTTTATTGCCAGAAATACTGTGCTATGTTAACATCTAGCCTTGTGAATGGTGTTTTATACTTGCATCTC